CAGTGTTTTCTAATAGGGTTTGCAGAATGGAAAATTTGCTCTGGGGGGCGGTATGGAATGTGATGGAAGGGTAAAATGGGATGATTAAAAAGATAAAAAGAAGGTCAAACCAGTAGGACTCCGAGAGAGCCAATGTAAAAGTGAACTCAGGCCCTTGCGCTTGCCAGGGAAGCGCTTATTCCACTGAGACATCTCCCTGGCCCCTGAAAGAAGAAATGTAGGGGGTCTGAGTAGCTCAGCAGAGGGTCTGCTGTTCCTAAAGAAGATCAAGGATCTGGGCAGGGTGTTTTCATAGGATGATGATGGACAGGAGTTGATGAACACATCTTTGGGTGTGTTGGGTTTATGGATCTGTGGCACAGGAAAAGGATTTGTGCTTAAAAATGAAAGTCTGAGAGATTTTAGTGTATGGACAGTATTTTAAGTCACTTCAGTGGTAAGGGGACCAAAGAACACCCTCCGTGGAAGGAGAGCCACCAAAGGAACAAAGCGAAGGACATCAGAACACAACGGGCATAAGATGGGAGAAGGGAGAGAAGGCTGTCACAGAAACCAAGGGAATGAGAGTGAACGAGGGGTGAGGAGCCCGGGCACAGGGGCAGACTGCTCTCTCCAGATGGCTGCGGAGGACAGAGGCTAGCCGGAACTCTATGGAGCCAGGAGGGGCTGTGGAATACAGGCATGACGAGCAGCTTCCAGGGCTGGTGGGAAGGAGCAATGCAGAGCAAGAGGGGCAAGTGGAGGAACTGCACACAGCAGGGAGAGGTGGGATTCTGAGCCTGGTGGGAGGACTGGCCACTGCCTGGGAGGCCAAGGACAGAGGGAGCTATGGGTGCTGGTCCACAGAGTGTGGAGCTTCCACTTCGTGGTTCTGTTCTTTCTCTAAAGTGGGTGAAAGCAAGAAGAGAGGAAGTAGGGCAGCAAGTCAAGGTCAGGACAAGAGCAAGGCCAGGGTGTCGATGAGGACTACTTGGTAAAGTAGCAGATACTAAAAACAGAGCATGAATGAACGCAAAAACTCAGACTAATTGGCACAACCTGGGAACATCTGAGAATCTGAAGAAAGCACTAGGCTCAGAGGAGCCAAGTTCCTAGAAGTGGGGGTGAAGTGGCTCAGTTATGAGCGTTGCAGATGCACAGTTCTTTTCAGCCTGTCTTACTGGACAGGATAAGTTCTGTAGATGTGTACTGGTTTAGAATGGAAGCTGCTTATGATAAGCCACTTGAGGCTATTCAGTACTTGAAATATGGTTCGTCCAAATTGAGATGAAGTTCATGCAAAAACTACACAGGATTTCAAAGACCAAGTATAAAAAGAACTAAAATATATCATTTTAAGATATTGATTACATTTTTGTTTTGTTTTGTTGAGACAGGGATTTGCTATGTAGTTCAGGCTGGTCTTGAACCCACTATGTAGCCCAGGTTGGTCTGGAACTGAAAGGTCATCCTTCTGCCCTGCTTCCCACGAGTTAGGATTACAGACAGGTGCCGCCACACCTGGTCTGATTACATGTTAAAAAGCTATTATGGGGGGCTGGGGAAATAGCTCAGTAGAATAAGCACTTGCCTGGCAAGCACAAGGTCCTGAGTTCAATCCCCGGTACCACATAAACACACACACACACACACACACACACACACACACACACACACACACAGCTATTTTGGGGGCTGGCCTGATAGCTCAGCAGGACTAAAGTGCCTGCTTAGGCAGAGTGCAGCAGCTGGGGTTCAATCTTGGTGACTGAGACTGGGTGTGGTGGTGCACACCTGTAATCCCAGTGCTTTGGGAGGCTGAAAACAGGAGAATCACTGAGTCTGATCTACGTAGTGAGACCTTATAGACCCTGTTGACCTGGTGGACCCTGTCCTAAATACATTAAAAAAAACTATTTTGGGGGTCTATAGGGTTAAATGAATTAAATGAAACATTATTAATATTAATTTTACATTATTTACTTATGAATATTTTTACTTTTTTTTTTTGGTGGAACCAGGGATTGAACTCAGGCCCTTGGGCTTGCCAGGTAAGCACTTATTCTATTGAGCTATCTCCCCAGCCCCTAGTTTTACTTTTTTATATAGTATTTTTTTACTGTGTGTGTGTGTGTGTGTGTGTGTGTGTGTGTGTGTGTGTACTGTGGGAGGGATGGCTCGGCAGGTGTTTAATTACTGAGACACATCCCCAGACCCTACTGTAAAATCTGAAATTACGTGTGCAGTCCCCATTACTCTTCTTTTGGACAGCACTGGTCCTGGCCTTGGTTAGCAGTTTCTACAATCCCGAAGGAGTCATTATGTGGCTCCCTATAAACTGCACAGATGCAACCAAGTTCATAAAGGCAGCTGATCTGTGATTTTCCATACATACTACAATCATAAAATTTGAGCCCTTAAGGGCCGTAAGGACCACGTACAGAAAATGCTCCTTTAAGAAAACCATTTTAAATCCTCCCAGGTATTGTGGACTCTTCCACTTTCCCCAAGACAGGCTTCTCATTTCGAAGCCATGCTCCTGGTCCAAGCTTACCACTGCAGGCAGAGAGCTGAGGAGCTCATCTCTCTCTTAGATTACTTCTAACATGAGGAGGCTGGAAACAGTGCAGACTGTATTTGTAATTTTCCTTTCACTGGGGAGGACTGAGGCTACACCTCCTCAGATTTGGCAGTGACTGGCCCGCTTAGCGATGCTGTATTGCAGCGTGCAGGGCAGGAGCCTTATCCCAGCCAGGGATTGTGGAAGAAGGCCCTGCATTCACAGTGGCCCAAGTTCAAAAAAAATATAACAGTAACAAGTGAGAGTTTCCCATAGCGTGGCATGGTTAGGAAAGTGAGGCTCTAAGAGGCTAGCTGACCCGAAAGCTTCTGGGGGTGGCAAGCGGCAGAGCTGGGGTCTGGACTCAAGGTGGCTTAATTTCACAGCTTGCCATCTCCTGTGGCCCTGCACTTTTCAGCATAGCTGATTATGGGCCAGGAAACAAACACAGGGGAGCCTCGCTTGGCTGATCTCAGGAAAAGCCGTGAAGGGACCATGGCAGCAGCTGGCTTGCTGCACTGCGCCCGCCCCTGCGCTCTAAGCTGCCAGCCCAGCTGAGGCTGGGTCCTGCTGCAGAGGCATCTGAACTATAGAACAAGACAACTTGGTGAGGGTTTGAGAGCCTCATCCCAGATCGGTGAAAGCACATCTGGAAAGATCACCTAAATCTAAAAGCATTTTCCAAGTAGAAAAACTATTACTGCACAAAATGATGTACATAGACTCCAGGTAGGTATCTCAGTGTAAAATCTGATTTGGAATGTGGGCTTTTGGATACAAAATGCACAGAATGTACAAGGAGTGTTTAGGTAAGCCATGTGGAAGGAGGGGGCCTGACCCTGGCCTCCCTAGGTAGAGCTGATTGTGGGCTGGTTACAAGTGGCTTTCCAGCCTTCAGATTTGGGGGCCTCTGCTTCATCTCAGGCAGAGGGATGGGGCTGCCGCTGGAAGCAGACTTTGCCACCTCTGGGAGTAAAAGGCCACAGTACTGACTCTTGCCCTCCCCTTTTCAGCCCTTCCGTGTTACGATGTACCCAGCAGGTCCAGGATCCGGTGACTCCCCAGAGGGCTACCCTGACCAATCAAGGCTCCAGCCACAAATTGGAAATCACACTGAAAGTGGGTGTATTTCATAGTCCTTTCTTCTTCACGGCTTGGTTGGGGCAGAAGACCGAGGGTGGGAACTGGGAAGGAGACGCTCAAAGAGGTCTTTGAGTAGCACAGAATCGAGGGAAGAACTGACCTTCATTCCGTCATGTACACTTGGTTCAATCATTGATCCTCACAGCAGGCCTGGCTCTGTGTTAGGCACTAGACAGACACCTCAAGGCAGGCAAACCACCAGTCGGGCGAGCGCCCGGGCCTTGTGGAGTGAGTCCCTTCCTTCCTCCTTCCATCCTTCCACTCACCCCTTCTCACTAGACACCCTGTTTTGTCCATTTAGGGGGAAAAAGGACTCATTTGTAACAAGTAATGGAGACAAAAATTTGGGCCAAAGAAAGGGCAAACTGAATTCCTGACCTAGAATCGGAGCTGGGGGATGATGGCAGGAAGAGGAAATAGGGAAGAGTAGGCTTTCTCTCCTCTCTGCTAAGAGCCAAGTATAGAACTAGGTTCAAGAGGAACCTTAGAGAAAGCCCAGCCCTTTATATCAATTGAGGAGGAAAGTGAAGGGCATGAGGCAGACGGGAGGCAGACACCCAGCTAGCAGGGGGAGTGGGAATAAAACTGCCTCAGAGAGGCATGATGCACCTCTAGCGAGGTACTAAATTTTAAACCCTTGCACTACACAAGCAGAGGAGCACCCGGTAGGCTGTTGCCAAGGGAGCAGGGAGCCCGCCCCCGTGCACGGTCCTGCGTTACCAATAAAGTTGTTGAAGCGAGCGCGCGTGAGCCTGCGGGGCGGGACCTGGGCGGCGGGGGCGTGGCCTGGGCGTGGCCAAGCTGAAGGAGACGCCGCTGCGCGGAGGGCGGCGATGATTGTATCGTGCCTGTGTTACCTGCTGCTGCCCGCCGCGCGCCTCTTCCGCGCCATCTCAGGTACCGGTCCCGCGTCCTGACTGGCAGGGGCCCAGTGCGGCCCGCTTCAGCGGGGCTCCGCGGGGCCTCTCCGCCGCGCCCCCTGACCGCGCCAAGGTGTGCGAGGAGGTCTCTGTCCCGCCCACGGGCCGTGCGGCTCCCGCGAGGCCCGGCCGGCGGCCCTCGTGGGCGAGCCCTCCTCCGCCGGTGGCCTGGTGACGTCGGCCACAGTTAACGTGGACCGGGCCGGGGCAGCCGCCCGTCCCCACCCCGCCGAGGGGTGCAGAGAGGTTGCGGGGTCGCCGAGTCACCGCCCCGGGCGTCGGGAGGCGGGCACCCCGGCTGAGGCGGGAAGAGGTGGCGACGCGGGGTCGCGGCTGAAGTGCGGAGCTCGAGTCTCCCGCCGCTTCACAGCCGCCTGCGCGACTCCCGAGCCCCAGCGGCTGCGGAGACGTCGTGGCGTGGGCGCCGGGCCAGGCGGTGACTCTAGAGAGGCCCGAGGGTTGTCCCTTCGCTCTCTCCTGATCCGTCTGCACTCCCTGCGCTGGGTCATTGACGTTCCAGACGTTTTATGTGAGCATCAGTTCCTTTCTGAGCTCCCGCAGACTGCCAGACTTTTCTCCTGCGACTTAGGGGGCAGAATCAAGAACTGCTTAGAAATAAGGGGAACAACTGCATTCTGTGCTTTTTCTTTCTGGAACTGTAATGAGTGTTTCATATATTTTTTCTTGTGTGATTGCCACTGGACTCCAAGCTTGAGGAGGGCTGTGAACGTTTGTTGGTTGCATCTAGTGCTAACACTGCCTGGTATGTGGTGGATAGTAGGTGTGTCCATACTTGTTAGGAATGAGAAGCCCTACAGAAATTCATGTTTTTCGAGAACTCAGCATAT